AGCAGGAGGAAGCAGGAGGAAGCAGGAGGAAGCAGGAGGAAGCAGGAGGAAGCAGGACGCAGCAGGAGGAAGCAGAATACAGCAGGAGGAAGCAGGAGGAAGCAGGAGGAAGCAGGATACACCAAGAGGAAGCAGGATGCAGCAGGAGGAAGCAGGATACACCAGGAGGAAGGAAGATGCAGCAGGAGGAAGCAGGATTCGGATAGGGCGCCCCACAGACGCAAGGATGCACTGTGTGGTTCTGGTGAGGAGAAGCTGGAGTAGACTCCTGAGTGCCTAGCACACTGGAGCATCAAGCCACCCGAGGAGGAGTCATCGTAGGCAGGTGACCATACCCTGAGGCCATTTGAAGATGCTGATGCTCCTTGGAAAAAGAAGAGCCAGTGTTTGGTGAGGAGTGAGGTGTGTGGAAGCTTCGTTCATGGAATGAGAATGTGACCAGGGCTGACTGTGAAGCTCCCTGCTTAGCAAAACCCGGGACTTGGGCAGGATGTTCCTTCCAGACTGAAGGGAAGAAAAACCAAGGGAGGGCATTCAGCAGTAATACCGTGGCCAGCTAGAGCCTAACTGCAGAAACTGGGACGCCTGAACGGAAGTATGTGTCACACTGACACTTAGGTGAGAGAGTTGGTGCTCTGTGCTCCATCTCCGTAGTCAGGTGAAGGACACTCCAGTGGAGGCTATGGAGGCCATGGTGGCCACGGCCTTGGGCAAGGAGACTCAGGCAGCTCCTTTTTCTGGCTGGGGTGAGGGGAAACTCCTGCAGGAACTCAGGCTGCAGCTGGTGATGGCCAGGCCGGGGTAGTGGCGTGCAAGCCTTGTGACATGCCTGACTCTGGGCCAAAGTGGGACTCAAGTGAAATGCTCAAAGCGAATCTGTGAGGGTGAATCAGGAGGCCTGGGATGCTGATGATGATGCTGCTCGCTCTGTGTCCCACAAACAGTGCGTGCTTTCCTTAAGTAAAGTGGTTTTCCTTCCTTCCTCCTCCCTCCCTCCCTCCCTCCATCTTTTCTTCCCTCCCTCCCTCCTTCCTTCCTTTCTTCCTTCCATCCCTCCTCCTTCCTTCCCTCATTCCTTCCTTCCCTCCTTCCTTCCTTCCTTCCT